TTTTTTAATTTATCGCCAAGTAAAACTTCAGACACCGCTGTCTGTCAAACGTTGTCTCTGCCACTGACATGGCCAATCTTTGACATAATGCTCAGCCTGTCTCTCCCCAGTCCCAAGAAGGAGCTGTCATGCTTCAGCAGGTCGGATAATTATTTCCCTCTTATCCCTCCTTGCCAGGGCCAATCCCAGCCTTCAATAGCAGCCAGGGCGTGCACCACTTCCCATCGCTTCTTTCTCTTCCTTTTCTTCTCCATCTCTTCTCCTCCATCTGTTTCACTTCACCTCACCCTCTAACTTCAAGACCCTTTTTTCCTCCGACTGTCTTCCCATCATTCTCTTTGTTGTCTTCTATCCTTTCTAAGAATAGATTTTAATGGGTGGAATAGATCCTCGGAGCCCGAAGTGCTAAACATTCCCTAAAACTTTGCAGTTTTGCACCTTTCCAACGTGTTGCACGTTACTTTCTCTCCACACTCATCTTGCCCTCCACTGTGAATTACTAAGAGGGACTGTTTGCAGGAAAAAAATCAGAGTGAAACTTTAGAATCTTTTAAGCTGAGCTGTGTTTTTCTCTGGCAATAACGTAGACAATTGCATGTTTTTTGTTGATATGCAAGATGTAGCGTTTCTCTTTTAGCATTTGCATTCATGCTATCAGCTCTCTTCAATAATTACTTGATGACATTGTTCCTTATTGCATTGTTGGCTAGGGCCTCAGAGGAAGCAGTTCTTTCCCTCTTTTGGCTTTGAGTACTGTCATTGACACAGACCATCTACAACTGTCTAAGATAACTACACCCAGTTTCACTTCAGGACGTGAGGAGAATCGTATGTCCTGTCACACCAAAAACTGCCTGCCTTGATTTTTTAACCCACGTGTGTGTTAACCTGCGGCTAACAAATAAACAAGGCCAGCCAGAACAGGCAGAGACAGTACAGGCTGTCTCTAGTAGATAAGACAGAACAATGGCCCTTAATAGGCCACAAGGAGACACGCACCCATCTCCAGCCTTCCTTTGCTTCTCCTATCTGCTCGCTGCTAACAAAAGAAACAAGATTCTCCCTATTTTCCCTTCCTGCAGAGAGATTAGCACTGCTTAACAGGGCTACGGGTATGAAAATGTGTATTTTTGTGATAATTTGGCGACAACTTGTGAGAAGGAGCTTTACAGAATGAGGAGGAACACAATGCATCTGTTGTCCCTTGGGTTAGTGTTTGGAGGAGAAAAGTACACGTTTGTTTGTCACTCGCGGTATCAGCCCCACAGAAGTGAGAATGAGGAAATGATTTAACCTGCAACGTAGCTTTTCAACGCCATCGTCATGTTCCAGTCAATGCAGACGGCCACTGCTGTATAATTACCAGACAGGCCTGTCCCTGTGAAAGCGCTCGTACAGTGTCAGCCGTGCGTCTCTTGAAAGCACACAGACCGGAGGATAGGTTCATGTGAGCGTGTCAAATTGTCTGGGTTACATTTCTTTCTTGTCCCAAATGCAGTTAGTGGGGCGTATAAAAGCAGGCAGAAAAGCCTGTTTCTACTGTAGAGTTTTTTTTTTTTTTTTTTTCTTTTTCCTCTTACTTTGCCACAAAAGGGGGCCTTGGCAAGGTATCAGAATACCAGCGGCATTGATCCTATTGTCCAAAAATTTGAATTTATTTAGCCTGTCCAGCTAAAATGCTCAAGCTCAATCAGTAACTCTGCCTGAAAGAATACAGAAAGATCCCTTTAAAAGGAGGCTGGCATATCGTACTATGCCCCGTGCCTTTTTATGCCGAGCCCTGATGAAAGAAATCTAGCCCGCTGCCAACTTAGCTCACCTGAAACGAGCGCCTTAGAGGAGAGAGACTGTTCTCCTGAAAGAGGAGGTGAGATGCTTCAGAGGGTTATGTCGAAGATTTTAGGGGGATTGAAGCATGCAGTATTATTTCGTGCCGTTAGAGATGGATTTCAGAATGCCGGGAGCCTAAATGGAACAGAGAAGTGTGCGACTTTTGATTGGAGCAGGTGTCAAACCAAAGGGGGATACATGATAAATTTAGCTTCCAGTCTTTAGGACAGCTCATTACTGAGGCGTCTTCACCCCATGCAAAATACCATCTTGTTATAAAATGGTTGGTATAGTTTTTTATGAATTAATATTATTCAGGAACAGAAATGAATGATATATCAAATGTGATTATTTTCTTTTCTACTATAAAGTTACATTTTTGCCTTTCGTGCACTTGTGTTAGCATTGTTTCAAGTTCTTTCAGTACACCAAAAGTTCATTTACAATGATTTCTTGATCCAGAAATAGGATGTTTTTTTTCCCTTTCTCCCCCCTTTTTCAACAAGTCTGTTCTGTGTACCTTGTCCCTCCTACAGAGAGATTAGGGTCCCACAGGCTGTATGTTCACATAAACCAAAGACGAGGAGAAAAACGCCAACTTGCTGCAAATTGCAGCTTGTTCCTTCCTACATTCATATTTCTAAAAACTGCATTTACCTTTGTGCCAAACAACATAAATCATATCTTATGTATCATTAATATATATGGATGTCAATAGGAGATGCATGAATGGAAGAAATATGGTTCTTCCCAATGGGGACAGAGTTGAAAAATGAGCTGTAGATAGGATGAGAATAGAGCCCTCTTAGTTAAGCCGCGAATGGCATCTAAATCTCTACTGCCCCCCAGTGGGGCACCACGAAACACAGGTACAATGTGAGTGTGTGCTTATGTGTCACACCAAAGAAATATGGTAAAAATAATCTAAACCATCAACCACTCAAAGTGCTGTCCTGCATAGACTCCTTCTCGTAAACCGGGGGCAGCACACTCTAACTTAAGGGGCACTCTGTTATCACTGTCTGATTAGAGGCATTCAGCCCATTGTTTATGCTATGCTCACTGCATTTCCTGGATGAGGGGTGCATTAAGTAATAAAACATTTCTTTGTTAATTGACCGTACAAGTACTCCACAATCGATCTATACCTCTACAGATCTTTTGGAGATCGCTGTCAGTAAGACTAAAAGTTTGGAATTATCTGGCTGAGCTCAACCTTTTGGATGCAGCTGATTATATTCAAATAATTTTTTCCATTATCCTTTCTTAATTAAGAAAAAACTTTCTGATTAACTTCTGGGTGTGCTAGCAAAGCTCTCAATGGCGTGGACCTGGAATGCCTTTAGGAAACTCACTCATGGGTCATGAGGAAGGACATGGGAGTAGAGTGTTCTAAGCAAACATGTGGGGTCATAAATCACTGAGGTAAGGTCCCCCATCAATGCCGTAGTATCAGTGATACTTCACTTCTTTAAGAATGATGGTTTAAAAGGGACTAAAAGGATTCTACACTCTGACAGCGGTGTGTTTGACCAGTCATTCTCAGCTTATGAACCAGTTGGCTTCTTCACCAGGAAGGAGAGCATCTATCATTCAGTTACAGATTTTTGTATTTTAGTCTAAGGCATACTATGGATTATGAGGCACAGTATTTCCAGGGTTTTGCTGTGTTGATTTTTTTTTTATGCATGTTTTTTTTTCTTACTTTCTCTATTTAGTGGGGAAACTGGTCCAAATTTAGAGCTGTTTCGCCCAAAAGTCTTCTTAAAACAGCCAGTATATGAAGGATATTATTCATTTCAAAGTAAGGTTTATTTTTTTAGATGAAGAGATTTTCTTTGGCTGCTTTGTATGCAGAGTTTTGCTTTTGCTCTGAGTGGAGTGTTGGACACATACAGTACTTCAGTTCAAGTGCACTCCACGAACCACTGTGAAAACACTCCCATGACCTACTGATGAGTGAAAGCCACATTGCTAAAACCTAAAAGATAGATCAATTGAAAGAAAAACATTTTTGAGTAGTTCGTGGCTGTCTTTTAAGAGAGATAATGATAGACCTGCTTTCTTTGCCTCCATCTCCAGCCAGGTTTCATTAGATGTTCTTCATCTTGCATTGGAACATCTGAGTCATGTTCATTTTTAATGATACCTGTCTGGACCCCCCCTTTTTTCCCTCTTGCACCCTGGTCCCATCCCTGCATGCTAAACTTAATCAGCGTGAAATGGCTCGCTTTGTGTCCTTCTTGCTCACTTTCCTGCAGGAGTCTTAGTGGCGCTGCCTCCATCTGTGTTTGTTTTTGAGCCCTCTCCGGGTCCTGTATCATTCGCTGCTCTTCATAAGGTTATGCTCATTTGGAGAGCATGGCGAGGACAATGCCATGGCTGTCGCTCTGATAGCTATCCAAGTCCTTGATCTTCTCCCCCTGTAAACATCATTATCACACACGAAAAACATACACATTGACAACGGGCACACTTGCGCACACACACACACACACCCCCACAAGCTGCTCATCCAAATCGGCGCTAACAGATTAGCAGTGATTATAAACAAACATGGAGGATTAATCCTGTGTGCTCTAAGTCTACTTTTCCACTGAGCTAGCCAGGGTAATTATCAAGTGCGAGATTGTTAGTGTAATCGCACACATGCACTCTAGCTGGCTGAGTCCTCTGCTTGTTGATATCGCTCTCAGTCGCTCAGTTTGTGAGAAAGTCTAAGATATCTCGTCCAAACAAACTTGCAAAACAGCTGAAATCACAGTGTACGGTTCAAAATTCAAATGTAGTTGGTAATGATCGAGGAAAACATGGAATTTCGAGACCAGCGACATCTTAGCATGCATTGGTAACTATAAGATGGCTGTCACCAAGAAGAGGAATTAGCATTTAAATCTTTTGGCCTCAGAGGGTTCCTGTTTCCCTTTAAATGTCCTATTTGCTTTTTTGTGGTATTTGTTGTACCTTTCTACCATCATGGGGGATCAGCCTCCTTTTTGCGGTGCTGTCATTCCTCTATTACTGGACCTCGCTGTTGTGTCTTTAACTCGCTGCTAAAATGAGGGAGTGTGGCCTTCTGTCCAAACAAAATTGGTCATGCTGCATTACTTTCCCCCGCAGGGCGGCATTTTGTGTTCACAACTACCATTTATAATTTTCCTCCTTCTCAGGTTGAAGCCATCCTGGTCAACATCTTCGGGGGAATCGTCAACTGTGCCATCATTGCCAACGGCATCACCAAAGCCTGCCGAGAGCTGGAGTTAAAGGTTCCGCTGGTGGTCAGGCTTGAAGGTAAAAACGCCGTTTCATTTGTCCGCACACTGACCGACACACACTCTCTGAGCAGGCCTCTCCCAGCTGACACTCACACAGATGATGATCTGGAATGCCTCCCCTCAAAAATATATTTGAGACCGGGATAAAAAAAACTACCTAACTAAAAAAAGAGCTGAGGAAAAAGGATGCAAGTAAGGATGGGCAAAGCTTCTGTCGTCTGTCAAAACCGGGCCTTCAAGTAGTGAAGCAACTACAGAAAAAAAAAGAGAAATTCCCAACATGTAATTTCAGAGACTTTGAATATTCCATCAATGCGGTACATAGCAAGATAAAAACATTCAGAGTATCTGGAGAACCGCTCATTGAGCCAGAGACATGGCTGTAAATCAGTAATGGAAACCTGTGATCGTCAGATTTTTCAGCAGTCTATAAATAGACATGATTCTTATGGAGTCTCTACATGGGGTCAGAATGTCTTAGAGGAGTCATCATCTGTGCAGGTTAAAGCTCCATCAGGGAAATAAACCCAGTTTTACTTGGGGTTGAACTGACCAGCCTGCAGTCCAAATTTCTCACGACTGCAAACATTTTGAGCATCACGAAACACAAATTACAACTAAAGGGAGCCAAAACTGCTGTGCAACGTAATCTTGCATCAGGCGAGAATGGGAAAATAACTGGTCTCCTCAGCTGCCAGAAGTTTAGACTTTAGATGAAACCTGAACCTGTCCCAAATGTCACTATCAAATCGATTTTTTTATTTTCTTAAATTGACGTATCTCGTCTTAAAATGATTGTCTTCAGTGGATAAATACAGTTTTATAACATTTTCGCAATTATGGTGTTCCATTTTATTTCTATTTCAAACAGCGTTCCAACCTTTTGAATAGGAGGCTGAACAAAGACGGTCCATGTTGTATTGAACTTTGGAGCCATTATATTATCGCTGCTGCACTCGCGGGGGCCCATCCATCTTCATCGTGGCCCAGTGTCCCTGTAAAAACAGCAGTGCATTTTTCACACAGGGCACACTCTGCCACGGCTGTCATTAGCGGCAGCCAGAGTAACAGTTGAGACGGCACTGATTGACTCACCTTTCACCTGCATATGCTAATGAAACCTGCTCAGGAGCCAGAGTGTGTGTGGGTGTGGGGGTGTGTGTGTGTATGGGTGTGGGAAATGGCAGCTCTGACTCTCAGAGGAAGGGAGCCAGTTAGTGGTTAGCTAAATTGTCAAGGTCCTGCGGAGTTGTGTGTCCAGAGGAGAGCAGGGAAGTAAATGTGTGTTCGCTTTTAGTACTTCTTTGTCTTTTTTTTTTTTTTCCCTGGTTTTAGAACTTGTCACTATGTCTGCACACCCAGCTAATATACTTCAGGGCACCTACACTCTGTAAGGGAACTGTAGAATAGACACAGCTGATTACAGCAGAGGTAAAGAGTAAAAAAAGTTTAGTTTTCTCTTTCATTTGCAACACTTTCTTTTAAACAGGATGGAAAATGTCAAGCAAGTGTGTAATAAAGCCTATGATCACACTTTTTTCTGATGACTTCCTCACAACCCAAAATATATTATAACGAAAACATCTGTCTTTGGCTTAAATTAAATAACAGCAAAACTGTTAAGCTTGGGGATAAAAAAGAGTAGAAAGAATAAGTTTTTAAAAAAAACTAAAGGTGCAAAACATACATCTGCAAAGATGAAAGCACCTGGCTTGATTTTACTGATTGAGCACACAGCTGAACATAAAGCCCTGAATGTTTCAGAAATAAAGACTGACTAGATTGGCAATTGAAAAAGATGCACGATTAACTGCAAGACATTTCTCACACTGGGGCCGTGTAATTCAACCTGACTCGCAAGCGGCCTGTGAGGTCAATACTGTTGGCCGGTCAGACTTTCTCCGGCCGGGGTCTAATCCAGCTTTAGTTTTGGGTCATTACGTCCCGTGCTGCAGTCTTGCGGAGAGGATTGGTTCAGAATCAATCAGCTCAGCCTCCTTGGCTGACTGCGGGGCAGTGAGAACGGCCCAGTGCTCTTCAACAGGATCAGAATGGATTAACAGGCACACTTTTAATTGGAAAGGCTCTTTGAAAAGGCTGGGGTTGATCAGAGTGGCAGAGAGTTATGTATTCCCAAATGTGGAGGCGAGCGGCGTGGTCGAAATGTTGTTGGGGATCACATCAGCCGATGCTGGATGTGAATGATTTTAAAAGTGCCTACGGTGCTGTGTTAATGCCTGCGTATGTCCACTGCATTATGAAATAGACTCGCCACACAAACAACAGATATGTGCTCTTATGTCCAAAGATACATGTGTAGTATAGCAGGAGGGAGGTGTGTGAGGAAGAGCAGCACTGCCCTCTTTGGCTACAGTCTGAATATGGACATCCTCTATTGTAAGCATGTTGTCCTGCACTATGGCCGAAAAAGAAAAAAAAAGACTATAAATAGTCCTCAGGGTCCAGAGAAAAGGGTAACTGCATTCACTTAACTGAGTATCCCCAACCTATTGATTTGCTGAGCCATTCCTCAACTGTCTGTCCAAGAGAGAGGGAGGCTGCTTTCTCCTTAAATGTATCCTTTCGTTTAATTAAAAAGAGATGTGAGATCTTAGTGAGGTTGAGATGGCTCCTTCAGTCTTGACAGTGTCATTATAGCTAACAGGCCATCTGCTGCCGCCATAAAACTAAACGGCACACGCAGACAGACCGCCACAGCGGCCGCTTTCTGATGCTAAAGCAGCATTTGTGAGATAGTGTGCATGTGGTTCCCTTTGCCTTTGAGCTATCGCTACGAGTACCGCTCTGTTCAAGAACACATTCTCCGTCTGAATCACCACAGATAGAGATGCGTTTCCATAGATGGGACTTTAAGTGTGAAAGATGTATTTTGGATCTGACGGATTTAGCTATTGGATGTCTTTATTGAACGGCGGTCTGGACCGTTTAAGAGACAGGAAAAGTTTCATTATTGGCTGGCGGGAACATCAAAGAGGAGAGCATCTGCTGGGCTGAGCGGCGCCCTGCTCTGCGCTCACATCCCAAACATTTGATGTTTGACACACAGCAGCAGGGTTCGCTCATCTCGGAGCGCAGAGGGAATTCTCTCCCTGCTGGGTGCTGATTATTATGAGGATGAGCACCCAAAACCAGAACCGTGTAAAGTCACTCTGATGCACGGTTTTGTCGTGTTTTTTGTTTTTTGAAGAGAGGGCAATACATCGCTTGTACGTCTATTTGTCTATTTTCAAAAGGTGGCAAGAGAAAGCATTTCTTTCCATAATTCTACCTCGTGAATACACACTGTATAGCACACCTGCTCCGTCTCACCACTGAGGGAAAGACCAAATCTTTTCTGTTCAAGTCAAAGATCACATCAAACTCTGTCCTTTTCTCAGCTCGCTAAGAAAAGCCTCTCCGAAATTTTGGCTTCTGCGGCATTAAGAGAAGTCCTCCAGCGGAGGAATGGGCCACGCCGTGGGCCTTATTATCCCGTAGAAATGCACCGGCCCTGTAATTGACTCATAGATTAACGTGGCATTTTCACAATTGTCGCCATCGAGCCGGCTAATTAGAGCAGAGGTCATCAGAGCGCTGGTGTGAGCGGGCTGTACATCACAGGGCTGAGTACCAGCCGCTGCCTGCTCTCCGCCTCTTTTGAACCATGCGTGTTGTTTTAGGCATGAATTGTGAAAGGTTCTGCGAAAAACTAGCACCTCGTTGCAGCTGCAGAAATTTGGCATGTGATTCAAATCTTTCAGCTTTCAGGTGAGGGATATTCTTCCAGCTGTCTGCTTACGGCCACAAAGCACCTTTTTCTTTCACTCCCTCTAAACTTGTACTTATGGTTTAGAACAATCAGGTATATTACTGTGAAAATGCCTTTTTTTCCCCCCCATATGTAGTTCATACCCCATCCAGACTGTCAGTAGGTCTCTGGCAGCACCTAGTGGCTGCAGGTGAACACTCATATGAATACACTCGGCCAGCTCCACACACACACACTCACACACTCCTCCACAGAGAGTCCTCGCCACCGCCACTGTGAGCTGTCAGCGCTCCCCGCGGCGCAGCGGGGAACTGCACTCACACACACACACACACACACACACACACACACGCACGCGTGCAGAAGGAGAGGCTCATAAGTGACTGTTCCCTCACACTCCCACAGAGGTGTCACTCCTCTGTCCCTCCACGCCGTACATGAAAAATGCAGGTAGCACAGATGCACCATCCAAACAGTTGCTCCGGAATATTTATGACTCGGTAAAAAAAAGAGTCAATCATAAACATGCATTAGTTGTTTGCTTTGCTAAGCTCCCGTGTGCGTATACATGTGTGTATTTAGGGATATGCAGATAGATGTCTTTTTTTAGAATGCCTTTCATGTAGCTAAGTCAAGTTTATGCAGGTTTGCTTGTTTGTTTTTTTTTGGCTATTTTAATGTCCTTTATTAATAAGTCTGAGAGGATAATAGTCGAGATCCATCTGCCATCCATCAGTGTGATTCCTGTGTCAGCCTGTTGAGCGTGAGGCGGGAGAGAGGCTCAGTGAGAGCCACACACACACCCAGAACACCCTCTGCCGTTTGATGGGAAAATGACTAAAGACACCTTATCCGCTGTGCGTGTGCCAGAGCGAGGTCTCTTCCTGCTCTTATTCTAATTAATTACATTGCAGAATTGATTGTTTAGAGTGCGCGCCCGCTGAAAATGTGTTTGGAATGACTTATTATACGGCTGGACAAAAGAGATGAAATATTAGGCGTTAAGTGGCGCTGGTAATAGAATTCCTCATGAAAGGTCTATTGATCAGGGTGGCCCGGCCCCAGGAGAATTCACGTCATGCAGCTTTAATTACACACTAAGCAGGATTGCGGAGGTCGACCTGTAGGCCTCCGAGCATGCTCACACACCTCCAATCTCTTAGTCCGAGTCAATGCAGAGATGCTCTTCTGGGCCAAACTGTCCAGTACCATCCCACAGAGCTGTCCAAACCAGCCCACATCTACTCTCATATCTCAGAGGTTAACGTTGTTGCTCTTGAAACCATTTTTGTATATTTCACCTTGTTATTTGAGGTTTTAAAAATGTGAGTTTGAACAAATTTGACGCATAATAAATTAATAGTCAAGATAATACACTCAGTTTTATGGAATCGTTTAGGTATTTTATAGATTAATGTAGCTCTGTGTCCATGGTCGAAAGGATGGAAGTTGGCCTACTCTTAACTTTTAGACTGCTGTAACTTTTTGAGGAGTAAATCACTTTTTCCGACCATTTTGACTTGTATCATCTCAAAGAACTTTTTCTTCTTTTGATTAATCATCTGCACTTAATTTTGCTGTCGGCACAGATGAGATTTTACCAATTTTTTTAAAGCCAAATTCTTTTCACCAATGGAGCACTTTCACATAGCTTTGTGGTTATTGTCCTGCCACTGAATTTTTTTCTCTCACTGATACTTATATTAGTTTAATAAATAAAATGGTCAGCAGACCCCACTTGTTTGCCTGCCGGTTGCACAGGACTCTGGCTTTTTAATATTCGGCCCTCAGCAGGAGGAGTTTAAGATGAATGCCAGATCCATCAGAGTTTCAAAAATTCTGCAAAGCTTACAACAGAAAAACCTTACAGTAAGAAATGTTTCATATAAGGAATTGCCCTCAGATAGGGATTTAGAATGTAAATGTTTTCCTGAGGATTATGTAAATGACCTGTTTCTTTTTTTCTTTCTTTTTTTTCATGTGCAAAAGCCACACACAACTGGATTTAGTCATTTTTTTGCAGCCCAGAGGGGTTTGTGCTTCATTTGACCCTTTGCTCCGCTGCTCTCTGTTTCCCAGACACCCCCCCCCCGGGGCGCCCCCTGCCCCGTGTTGTGACAGGATTTGTCAGGCTTTGGTTGGTGTGAGAGTGTGGGGAGCCCCCCCGGGTGCGTGGTTTGGTGGTTTTGGGGTGTAGCGGGGGTGTGATCAGCGGTGTGTCACCAGCACCTGCTGCCCCTGACCCCGCTGCAGCCGGGGGAGCCCCCCCCCCCCCCCCCCCCCCACACACACACACAACCGCTCTCAGATCAGCGGTGGAACGTGCCACCGCTGACCCATAACTCCGTCCATCTGTCTGTGTGAATACACCCCTCCAGAGGAGCTCTTCCTCTCTCACACAGCCGGGTTTTTTAAACCTCGCTGCAGATGGCAGAGCAGGCTCAGCCTTGTTGATAAAATACCTTCTTTTTTTTTTTTTTTCCTCTTCTTTCTTTGGCTTTTTTTTTGTGTCCCTGCATGTTTATAACGGTGTTTCCCCATGTCTGCCAGGGACCAACGTCCACGAGGCTAAGAGGATTCTGAGCGAGAGCGGGCTGCCCATCACAGCGGCCGACAACCTGGACGACGCCGCCAAGAAGGCCGTGGCCGCCATCCAGAAGTAGAAACCCCTAATGTACCCGTCACCGTCAGCCTTTTCTCACACAGACAGACCGCCACAGCCTCAGCCATTCGCTCTCACAAGCCTTTGATTTTTTTTTTCTAAAACCCTTTACATTTCTCGGTTTCTCATCCATATCACCGTGTGAGAGGTGGTGTGTAGAATTTAGTTTTAAGACTAATTTCTTTTATGCAGAGCAAATTAGCTTTTTTTAATTGCTTTAATATGTTCTTTTCTCCATTAAAATTATAAATATTTGGGAGGGGAAATCACCTATACTTCCTGGGTTATCGTTTTATATAATGAAATTAGCTCTCATATATTCTGGTTGGGGAGCCCAACGCTGCATTCCATTCTTCAATATCTCTGCATATTGTGGCATTTACATTCAATTAAGCAAGAAAGAAATTCCGTCTGGGAGCTCATTCGTTGGCACAACCCAATGGACCTTCTGAAACCCGATGGATCATTTCAGTAGGTGTGTTGATTTCATTGCTGTGACAAAAAAAAAGCCTTAACTTTTTCTCATGGAATGCCACTCTGAACCTATACATCATGTCTTATTTGAAAAGTGCTGCTCTGATTTGCAGTCCGTCTTCTGCTTTCATCGGTGCCTGTTGAATGAAGGCTAAAGGGGTTTCTAATGGCTTCTTATCAAAGAATCGAGAAAAGAATTGTTCTTATTTTTTTATTAATCATGAACTGTGTATATTCATATCTGAAGTACAGTGGGGAAACCTGTGTATATAATCCAAGAGATTAAAAATAAATATTTCCAGATGTCTTAATTGTGTTTCTCTGCCTCACATCGCATGTGCATTAGGAGGTCATGGGGAAAAGTGGCAGCGATTCCACGGCTTTCTTCTGGACAAAATGCCTGTGCAGAATGCTGTGAAAGTGACGCTGGTGTGAGAACAGACCATCAGCGATTTGGAAAGTCGAGCCCTTGACCCTTTCTCACGGGTGGACGAACAGCAGAAAACCGTCCAGCTTAGCTGATTTCTCTATTTACTCCTCATATTTTCCAAGTACCTCTTTTTTTAAATGCAAATTTATTTCTTTTTGTGAGACATTTTTACTTCAGATCAACCACTGATCGACTCCAAAATGCAAAAGTATCTTCTCACAGTTTTTTGGGGGGGGGTCAGATTTCTTCCCCACTGGCTGTAGGGCAAGTTTACCATGTTTGTTTTCACTTGGTTCACCAATTTTGAATCTCAACCAAAAAAATTGTTTAGAATTGCCTGATGACATCTGAACTTGGTGCTATAGAGGAGGAAAAAAACAATCTGTAGTGTTACCCTTATTTAAGCCAGTTAAGCCCCAGGTGAACATGTTAGTTAACTGAACTTAACTGGCTTCCTTTCAAGCTGGACTGAAGTACAAATGGAGTTACTGCCCAAAATTCTGTGCCGTGAATCCATTTGTACCAATCTCCCACGAAGAAAAGTTTGAAACCGCAGAATTGCTTGAACATTGTTTAAGATTTACAGATATTATTGGAAAAGCGACTCTAGTTAACACGGATATCTACTCCCATTTGATATTCAGATAAACTAAGCTCAAATTAACCTAACGGCCTCAGCCTATTATCTTGTGTTTTGTCAAATCAAAGAAAGCTTCAACACCTATTCAAGGGGATCTATGCTCTCAAGCTTGATCCCACAGGAATGATGTTGATTTGTCAAAGAAAAGCTTCAAAATAGTTTTGTCTTTGGTCTTGCATCATAAAACATCCATTAAATATGGATGTTGTGTCTAAATGCCTTCTATTTCTGGCTCCTGGTCCATCCTGGCACGTTTGGATCCATCTCTGAGATGTTAAAACGTTTCTTGGGTTCATTTTAGACCACCGTGGCTCTCTATACAGGACTGCTTTCTGTCCAGCGTTTGGGAGGCTCTGAGTCTACCAGTCTCCACAAATCGCCCGCATTTGTTCTCTGTAATGGAGTTGGAGTGTATGTCGACCCGGGAGAGACTGTCCTTGGTGGACCCCGTCTGAGTGAGACCTCTTCCTGTCAGACACTCTGACTGTGTGATGGATTATCTGTCAGGCCATCTGAGAGGACGCCCAGACTCACTGGATCGACTGCCACCTCCATGAAAGCCACACACATACACACTTAGCTTTTTTTCTTCTTTTTTTAGTCCATGTATGTATGTACCAGAGAGGACCTCCAAGAGAAAACTGAATCTCTTGAACTCTTAAACAGCTACTTGTCTTTTTTTTCTTCTTCTTCAGTGGACAAAGTCAAGGAGACTCCACTGGGGTTTCTCCACATCTTTGTTTTTCCATACAGGCTAAAGTGACATGTATTAGGAGGATGAAATTAAAGGAAATTGTTTGCTACTGAAATTTATTTGCAAGGTATTAATTTTTAGCCTCCCTATCGCCCAGAATCATCTCAAGATGCACACTCCCCGGCTCTGTGCCGCACCGTGCCAGACAGCCAGGCCGTAAAAATGGGCTGAAGGGTTCAATAATTGCCTTATTTCATGCTCTTCCCTGCGTGTGTCAGAAATATCCCCGCTGATGGATTGGACGGAGGAATTTAAGGCTTGTTAAAGCGGGCTTCTCGGGCCCTGATATTGTTTAATTCAGTGTCAAGCTGGAGGTCAGAACGAAATGTGCACACTGATTTACTGGGCAAAATTAGTGCCGCTCCTTCATATAAATATAGATGAGGGGGGAAAGAAGCTTTGGAGGTCAGGCTAAAGACTTCTATAATCTAGCCAACTGCTTTTAACTGGGCTAATACCTTGTGAGGTGGGGGAAAAGGACTGTTGTTTTAAGTGGCCTTTTGCAGAGGGCCGATCCTTTAATTAAGCTGAATTATTATGCTGCGCAAGACTTATTTTTCACTCTTGGGGCCTCACTTTATTTATCTCTGTAATTGTCCCCGTTTTCTTTAGCTAAATACGGCGGTTTTCTTCTTTTTTCCTGGACCTGAATTGATGTAAGAATTGATGTCAGAACAGTAATTGCCTCTTCAGGAAGCTGCTGTCAGTGTTTAAGCATATTGGTCGAACCGGGGATGCTGAAAAGAACCCTTTTAGACAACAGGGTCAAGGCCGTCCGCAAGGAACTATCGGATGTTTACTAAGTCATTTGGAAGCAGCAACTATGAACGTATTAGTTCATAATAAAAAAAAAAAGCAACAGCGGTTTGAATTGCCTCAGGCGAGCGCGCCTCATCTCTCAGGGACGAGGTGCTGCTCAATATTTACAATTTTCTGCCTGTGTGTCTGCTGACAGGTCAGTGTAGATAAGGAGAGTAGGCCAGTGTGCACATATGTGCTCGATTATGTGCTCGATTTCAGTCAGGATATAGATGGATGCATCCTTGGAAAAAAAAAAAGTTTAGAAGTTCTAAAACATGTACTTTCCTAAAGGATTATGTCATGCAGATTGTAATGGATTCACCATTTGTTTTCAGGTTCCACCCCTGCTCACCCATGGTCGTACCTCCACCCAGCAATCGCTGA